CTAAACCCTGAACCCTAAAACACTCGGTCGCCTTGTGCATGCTCCACATAATGCCGGGAACAGCCAAGGGCGAAATGAGCTGCTGCTCATTTTCGAGGTTGCACGTCCTGGAGATTTCGGGAGTTCCGCGTTCAGGGTTTCAGGGCATCGCAGGATTGGGAAGTATTGCTTAGAGTTCAAAAATCATACTTGAAGCGTTTTAATGGAGGATTTATGTAACGGTTCTCTATGAATTAGAGTGGCACCTCCTCTCATGCAGAGGTTAGGGGCTTCTGGGGTTCGACGGTTGAACGCTAAACTTCGGGAAATGTCCAAATCAACCTAAACCAAAAGCCTCTTTTTCGTGAGACCAGAGCCCCAGATTTTGAAACTCCGGAAACCTGTAAACCTGAACTCCTGAAATACCAAACCTTAAACCTTGCGTGTTCAAAGTCAGCTCGTACCACTTCTGCAAGAATCACTGTAGCGACGTCTTGCCAAATGGCTTGAAAGTCCCTTTTCAACCTCTGCAAAACGATGACGGCAGAATCCGCCCGCCAAGTCTCATCAACCCCTTTAAGCGCATACAAGGCAAAAGCTGAAACCCTCAACCCTCAAACTGTAAACCCTCCCACTCCCTCAACCCTGAACTCTCCACCCTAAACCCCGAAGACTCTACACAAACCCTAAACCCTGAACTCCGAAACAATAAAATCCTAAACCCCAAGGAACCCTAAGGCCAGGCGTCTCGTGAGCCAGGCCAGGACTAATTCCATCTCCCGCAGGCACCGCCTCAAGGCCTTGGTTTGCTTTGGAGCTTCAGAGTGTGGGGCGTTTAGAGGGTTAAGGTTGGGGTGGGGGATAAGAGGGGCCGGGCTAAGGGATTAAGGGGGTAACTCCTTGAGAGTTTCAGTGGCAAGGGTTTCGGGTTTTGCGGGACGCAGGTTTGGTGGTTAAGAGTTCTTTGGCTTGGGGCCTGGGGATTCGGATTCAAGGGTTAGTGTTCAGATTTGGGGTTTAACTAGGGGTGAGGGTTGTGTTAAGGCGTGGAGCTTGCAGCTCACAGATCATTGTCTAGGGTTTGGCGTTTCAGGTTTATGCCCGGTGTGAAGGCTTTCTGGGGCCATCAGGCTTTAGGCTCCTAGGTTTTTAGCATCTATGCAGGCAAGCAACATTGGCCGTTGTCCGGGATGCCAAAATCCAGCAATGCCATCATCCCTGGGCCAAGTCTCGGGGCTCTCTACTTGAAGATTCATCGGTCGAGTAGGGTCCGAAATAAGGCTCCGGCGGCCCTGTCTACTATAACGGGGTTCCAAGGGCACGAGTACTGGCAAGTGTGCAGTCTTCTACCGCATTTAAGTTGGGTTCCGAGTCCCTAGATGGGGCTACAACTATTGTCATCTTACTGATATCTACCCATGAACCTTGAAGTGGGATTGCTTTGGGTGGGTTTTAGAGCTTGAGGATTTGGTGCTAGGGCGTGGGGGTTAGCTGGCGCTTTGGGGCCATGAAGAATGCATTGCAGGTGGTATGATGCTCACATGCAGACCGGTAACGCAGGAACCCCGTCTACGCCCTGCACACACCCTGTAGTCCTGGACAATCCGTCTAGCAGCCAAATGGCATTCTGAGTATGTCAGTGTGGAGTTGCTGGGGTGGAGGTTCAGGGTGCCGGATCAAGGAATAACATGTAGAGCCACCCTGAACTAGATTCTGTTGAAGGTCATGGAATCTCGGACACGTCCTGAACTTCTGAACCTTTCTCCGTACTCTCTACTCCCCAATTCCTATACCCTAAACACTGAACCCTTGATGCCAAATCCACCCTCCATGGAATCTGAACGGGGTCCTATGAAGACTATTCCCTTAAAAATAAGCTTTCGCACGTAAGTTCCGGAAGAGAGTAAAGCAAAAGGCTGCTCCCATGAACAGCCCGGATGCGATCTTCAATTTCTGCCGAGCCCGCCACCTGCAAGGGCTCTAGGTTTAGAGCTTCAGGGTTTAGGGATCAGGTTTAGGGCTTAGAGTTTTGTGCTGAGAGTTCAAGGTCTAAGGATTACGGTCTAACTCCAATGGATGGAAGCAGGCAACGCTGAATAACGAAGATCCTACGGCCCCATTGCAAAAGCCCAGATTCCAGATCCCGAACCTACGTACAA